GATAATATTTACAGGAATTGGAATGGACTGGGACTTTGTACATGATAGTAATAAAGAGGGACGAAATATTAGGGGTTCCCCATTGTTGCGGCTGAAAGAAATGGTTCCCTTAACTAATGCAGTTCACATTCACTGCAGATCTAGACTGTCAAACCAGAGTCTTCCCCACTTGGGTCTCTAATTTGATGCTCAAACATGGAAATTTATTGGCATCCCCATAAAATCTTTCCTCATTAAAATGAGGATAAAATAGGTATGGCATCCTTTGGTTTGGTCCAACTCTACTTTGGAATTTGGAACTGCCATTAGTTGAGGAAGGAATTTCAATACTCAATACTTTTTAAATTAGGAATTTGTACTTCAAGGCGGAATTGGGGACAATATTTGCCAACAATGGTTGGGTTAAGTGGAATGGACTTAATATTTTTTTAAATAAAGTTGATGTTGTGAACCTTATTAATGGAAAAAAAAATCACTATAGAAGAGCTACTCCTATTTAGATCCTATAATGCTTGAATCTAGAATAGTTGGCTATAACAGATACTAGATAGTTGTAGTTAAAAAAAAAAAAAATTAATGATTCCCTTTAGTGGCAAACTCAAGAAATATTGTGTTGCGTGTGTCAATTGTCAGATTTGGTATTTCAATTTGCCAACGGAGGAGTTTGGCTGTCAAAGCATGGAAGTTGGATATTTTTTGTAGGGAAATCGTATATTTATGAATCGGGATGTGTTTCTATATATTCCATCAGAAAGGGAAAGATACCGTTTGATTTGTAATTTTTTTTAAAAAAAAATTCTAGCTTTTGCTATTTTACAAAATCCCTGATGCTCATAGATTCTTTTGATTGTACATGTTTCCATTCCTTCCTAAAAGAGGGAATTATACTACATGGTAAAAAAGTGGAATTGGGCCAAACCACAAGGTACCCCAGTGTATTTTTCCCTAAAAAGATTCACTGACAGTCTAATTTTTTTTTTTTTTAAAAAAAAAAACTACAGAAAAAATAAATATTGAAAAAAGAGGGGTTGCAATTCCTTTTTCTCCCCTTCAATCATTCTACATAGGAAGACAAATTTTCATCTAAACAAGTTTTCATACTAATGGATAAGTTTATAAGGTGGAAACAGAGGACATCGCTTAGTTCTGCAGATATGAACAGATCATGGTAGAATACATTACACTTATTGTACCAAAACTTACGTTGACTTGCTGGCATTGTGTAAAATTGATGCTATTTCATAAAATTATGGAGTGCAATTTACTTAACTAAGATTTTTACATGTATTAAAACAGCATAAAGAAGAGACAAAAGCTTAAAATTTATAGGGACATGTTAATCATCAGTCATAAATCCTTCAAAAATGGCCATACATTTATAAAATCTTAAGACGAGTGAGATAAATAGCTAGTTTCCATTACAACATTTTATAATTTTAGATATGTAATTTTTATTATTTTAATATTAATGGTGAATTTGAAAAAGAGATGTCGTTCTAAACGTGTGCTGTGATATGGAAGTCAATGAAAATCATGAAGACAATGTTAATAGTTTCTTCTACCCTTTCAATCTGGCTGCTTTATCAAAAGAAGAAAGAGAAAACATGTGTGCAGATAATATGTGCATAGAAATCAGGAATTTACCTCAATAATTTAAAACAGAAAATATGGCTGTCTGTCTTGTGTGTCCCTAAAATAAATAGTGATATGATAATACCTAAAAGGATAGAATGATGCTGTTCACTTGAGTAACATGGGTGATGAAAAGTGTGTAAAGCTTTGTTAAGTTGCTTACTGATCAAATTAGGCTATCCAGGAACATACGATTCAAGTAAACATGATGCAACCCTTTACTATAATTTTCAGGCAGGGAATTGCTACTATTTTTTGAAATTTTGATAAGATGCGTTTTTCAATGGCAAAAAAGGTTGGTTTTGGTATGGTATTAAGCACCTTTCCTGTGTTCTGGAAGCCCTTGGCATTGAATAATTTAGTCTATTTATGGTCAGGGTATGTGGTTTACGTTTTTTTTGTTGGGAAAATATTGCAGAATGGTGCATCTGCTCCTGGATCAAAATCACGTATTCCGCCACTGGCATCTGAACCATTGGGTTTTGGTCAAAGACATGATGCTACAGTTGATATTCCATTAGATAACAAACATGTAATTATGTTCGCTAATTTGAAGAATTTTGAGGGCTCTTTTTTCCTGTGAGGTTGATCTATACGTCCCCCCCCCCTATTATTATTATTTTTTTTGAAAAACTTACGGTGCATTCATAGGACACTAGGAAAAAAGAGCAAGAACTAGCAGCTTGGGAATCAGATCTGAAAAGGAAGAAAAGGCGAGTTTCTTTTTTGGTTTATAATTATATCATTTTTATCTTTTTGATTTATTGTCTATTGTCTCTGCCTCCATTGTCTTTTCCTTACATTCAGCTGTTCCCTTTGTATATGTTGGTATCATTTAAATACAGCTACTTCCTTGCTGCTCCAAAAAAAAGAAAAAAGAAAAAAAGACTAAGTTCTTGACTATTTTGAAATGTTTCTGCAGGATATAAAAAGGAGAGAAGAAGCTCTTTCTCAAGGTTACTGATAAGACTATGACACAACCTTCTCAATTATTCTCAATTAACTGTCTTGTTGCTTTTCAGAAATTGTGTTGATTGCTGAGTCAATAGCTTATTTTAGTTCACTGTTCCTTCCAAAATATGCTTATCAGCTGGTGTTCCTGCTCATGATAAGAATTGGCCTCCATTTTTCCCAATCATTCATCATGATATTGCCAATGAGATACCGGCTCATGCTCAAAGGATGCAATATCTGGCCTTTGCAAGTTGGTTAGGTATGGGGACTTATAATTAGTATTTCCATTGCCAATGATATGCTAGTTCATGAAACTGTTAGTTGCAATTATGTTTGAATCGTGTCCCTGAATTTTATCTTTAACTAGTTGTCTGGGTAACATATCATTTGCAATGTGCGTCTGTATTTCTGATAAATTGTTCCAGGTTCTCCTTTTCCATTTAATAATCGTTTGTGCTGTCCAATGATACAGTTTTTTCCACTTCGAAACTTCCCTTGTCATTTCTCTTGTTTTTCTTGTCCTGGTCCTTCTGTTTGTTTATACTTTTCACTCATTACATATTAGAGTTATAAATTCCTCAATAATACTCCACTATACGATTTTTCTATCATTTTGATCTTTTTACTGATTATTTAATGATTTGTTTCAGGAATTGTTCTCTGCCTGGTTTTTTAATGTAGTTGCTGTGACTGTATGTTGGATTAGAGGCGGTGGTGAGCTTACTTCTCTTCCTCTCAATGTTTTTACTGTATTTGGGTTCTTGCTACCCTCTGGTTTGTGTTGTGATTTGGATCCTTAGGTTAGTGTTTTACAATGTGCAGGGGTTAAAATTTTTTTCCTTGCTGTGATCTACACTTACTTGGAGTTCCCATGTCGTACGTGCTTTGGTATAGGCCCCTCTATAATGCCGTGAGGTAAACTGCACTGCTCTAGTATTGCTTCCTTTTCTTTACTATCATTTTAACTTAGTAAAAGCGTCAAGGATTTAGGGCTACTATTTGTCTAGTGCTACCTCTTTCCCCTATAGTAACAGGTGGAGAGAATAGTAATGGATTTAACCCACTCATTATGTATGATGAAACTTGTAAAGCTGTAAAGAAAAATATGAAAAGGCCTTACGCAGTAGTCTGTGTATATTCAACATGCAAAGCATGTATAGCAGTGGCTTTAACTTATAGAACAAGAATACTGCATGTTGATGGCATGATTCTTTCTGATATGCAGGACAGATAGTGCATTCAAGTTTGGTTGGTTTTTTCCTGATTTACATGGTATGTGAATCTATTACTTATTGCTGGCAAACTAGTGAGTGGGTAATGTATTAATCCTTCTCTTAATTGCCTTGGCATGATGCAGCTGCATATTGCGTTTTGTGTCTTTGCTGCTATTGCTCCTCCGGTTGTTTTTCATGGAAAGTCATTGACGTAAGTTCTATTCTACCATTTACAAATCCTATTTCCAAGTTTGCTCTATTGAAGTTGGGAGTTGTTAAATACTTAATCTGATTGATTGCAATTTCGTAATGAAGTATGCCTCAAAAGGCCAAGGAAAAAAAAAAAAAAAAATCCCCGCCCCCCCCTGGGGGGGGTATGTGGGATCAAATCCTAAATCATGTTGGTGGATTATGATGATGGACGTTGGTAATTAGAAGTATCCAGCTTAATTGTTCACTTAAGAAATGCCACCTTATGGGACTGCATGAGCTGGTACTGCCATATTCTAATAATTAATTTTGTTAAGGTGTAAGGGAACTGCTGCAACTTTGATATATAATTGATTGATTTTAAAAACACTTTAAAGTATTTGCTGCTAAAATTTAAATGAATTCGAATGTCACTTTGTGGTATTATCTTATGGGCACCCTTCTATTTATTTATGTGTAACATATTATAGCAGCATATATTCCTTTTCTGTTTATATTGAATGCTTTCAAAATTTCAGGGGTATTCTTGCCGCAATTGATGTCTTCTCAGACCATGTATTCGTTGGGTACGTTGTATTTGTTGCGTCATTTGAACTAATCTTATCTACATGTTTATTGCTGTTCAAAGATATTGCACGACATGAGGGGAAGCTTGTTCCTATCTGATGCGTTAATCTTGAAAATTATACTGAGACAACTTAGGTGCACTTACCAATGGGGACATTGGTCAAAATAAGCATAAGCTATTACTTTTATGTTTTAAAATTGAAAAGTCATGAAGGCTGTTAGCCTTTTGATAGAACCTCCAAGATATTTTTTCGTATTAAACTGTGATATAGCAAAGCAGAGAAAAAGTTCCCTACTTTATCGTATGCTGAAGTTCTGATGGAAAATAAGTTCCACCACTTCTGTTTGTGCCAATTTTGATTGATTTCTTGATATCTCTTGCAGATATCTACAGATATCTAGGATGATCAACCTACAATCCTATACTCTTGAATCACTAAATCTGTTTCCTAAAAAGATCACAGCACTAAACCACATGAGATCAACCAACGCAAGAATCCTAGAATCTTCCTTCAGAAAATTAGGGGTTAGGACAAATTTTGACTTTGTTCTATTATGGAACTGGCACAGTCATTCTATTCTAGAAGACAGGTGACTTGGCCCTTGAATAGAATGTAAGGTAACTTATAATGTTGGGATTAGGATTGTGAAAGACCAGTAATTGATTCAGTTAATGGGGTGATGTAATGAAAAAAATCATATTTTTCCCTATTTTTGGTATATGGAGTATAGATAGTCTATTGATTTGGTTAAGTTAGTAATAATAAAACCGTAAGTACCGTATAAAGAAATAAGGTTTTACTTTCACATTTGTTTCTGTCAATTTTGATCGGTATTATTGCAGATATTCTATTTGGTTGGATTTGGCTTGTTTTGCTTGGAGACTCTACTAAGCTTGTGGGTGGTTCAGGTGAGGAGCCGAACATTTGCATTGGTTTTGCATTGCCCATTTTATCTTGTTTCATGTTTTCGGACAAATGGTAATTGTGTTAATATTGTAATCTCATTTTTCATCATCATCAGTATATCTTCCTCTCCCTCTCTCTCTCGCCTCTTCGTCAATCTCTAGGGCAGTAATACCTTGATGTGGTTGAAACTTGCGGCTGATAGATCATTGATGTTAAATAGTAGGCTAATATTTTTTTTTTTCCTGGATACTGAGTAGATAAGTACGTGGACTGAAGTAAATGTTAGCATGCTTTAAACTAGGATTTCAGCCCAGATGTTCTGGTTATAAAAAATACTTGGATGAATGGACTCATATGTCGAGGAGAGGTTCAAGTGTTTAGAACCGTAGAGAGATGCTTTAGAATTATGACTAAACAAGCAAGGACCTGTTCACTTTGGTTAGAGTGCTGAGGTATTATTACTCCATATGAAGGCTTTATTTGTGATCGAGATTAAAAACTTTGCCAAGTATTGAAATACATCTTAGCTGTGTTTGCAAAAGGAGAAGAACTGTAATATAATTTATCATGGTATACTGACAATTATAGTTGATTTTCTTCAGGACTGAGGCTGTAATTGAAGTCGGAAGAATCGTAGTTGCGCAAGGGGTTATGGGATAAAAACAATACATACGTATATTAACACTGGATTGAAACAAATTACTATAACTTGCAGCAACCTTCACCTCTATTTTGTATTCTAGGCTTAATTGCACTTTGGATTTTACTCAAGCGAGCAATTTAGTACCCCTAGAAGGATGGTTTGGATGTTTCAAACTAGCGTCTTCTTTCATGGTATTTGTCTGATAGGTTGTTAGGATACTAAAGTGTGACGTTTATTTGCCTTCTGCACTCTCAGCACCTTGATTTGCTTAGATATTGTTAAGAAAACATGTTTGCAAATATTCATGATGATTTTGTTTGTCTTCTTGTTTTGTTTGTGCAGAAAGTCTACATGTATTTCAGGGGGAACAAGTGAGATTTTCCAGTCACATGCTAAGTGACCAGTATATTCTTTTTCTTCTGCTCCACAGTGTCTCCCCACTTTCCCATGTTCCTACCTATGACTTTTAGATCAGTGTTTAGTGAATTCTAGGAACTTTAATGTGCCTTCCTGTGGTTGTATAACTCCGATCTCCCTCCCTCTGATTCTTTTTTTCCTTTTTGGTTAGCATAGTGACATCCGGATTTTTCTTTCAATTAATGAAATATATGTTGTGAGTGAAACCAAGGAAAAAAATCCTGTTATTTTAAGAATACTATTCCAGTTTTTAATATACGATGAAGTTCAAAAGTTTTCTCTTCCAAAATATAAGACAAGGTCAGAGTAATTAATGTTTTTTTCTTTAATTTTACCCCTTATTTATTGTTATTTGAATGTTTAAACAATAATTAATTATGATTATTAATTACAAAGGAAGGTAGAAATGATTTTTTTTTTTTTTCAAAATTATAACTAATATTTTTAAGGTTAAAGTATGGTTTTTAATTCTTTAACTTTATATAAGGTTTTAATTTGATCTTTTAATTTTGTAAAGTATTCTTTTCCTCTTAAATTATAAGATACTTTTGTGAAAGATTTGACGTTTTAGAATATAAATTTTTTAAAAAAGATTAATGTTTCATTAAATAGGTTTATTTTAATTTTTCTTTTTTTTCTATAATTAATTTTTATTCTTTTTTTTAATATATTAAACAATAGGTATTTTGGGAAGTTTATATTTTTATTTTGAAAAGATAAGGTTATTAAATGTATTTAATAAAATTTATTATGTGAGATTTTATTTAAAAGTGTTTTATAATTTAAAATGGAGGGAATTATTTTTAATCCTATAACCTTAATATTATCAATTTTAAATAGTTTTTTTTGTATCGATTACTATTATTTAAAAAAGTTAAACTTAATATGTCAATATTTAAGAATTTTTTGTTAATATTTAAAAATTTATTGAAATAAAAGTAAAAAATTAAAAAAAATTTTAAAAAATATTTTATAAAGTTAAGGGATTAAAATAAAATGTTATATAAAGTTAAAAAATTAAATGTATATTTTAATTTAATAAGTGTAAAGTTTGTTTATTTTGTTTTGAGATTAAAGGCTGGTTCTGTCGTTGCAGTGTTAAAATAAATACACAAAACCCACGCACGCACGCACGCACGCACGCGCGCAGTTGGATGGAAAATTCACAATGGGCCATGTCATGGATGAAGCGAAATCGATAGTTGATTCTTCATGCCATATGGAGCGGCATTAAATTCTGTTGTCTAACCCATGGAAACATAATCCTCCAACGTACGATGCCCTTCTTGCTTCTTTCTCCCTTACTCTTCCCCTACCGACGCTGCTCCTTCAGAATTCAGATCGCTAAAACTTTCTCCGTAGGTGCGGGCCATGGTAACACTACCCTACCTCCAATGCGCGTGTTGAATGTGAAACCTTTATTTAAAAAAAAAAAAAATTGATGTTGATGGTCTGCAATTAAAAATATAATTTTGATGGTCTACATTTAAAATTCTTAATCTATAACTTTTTCAATGATAAATTTATTTTCTTTGAAGAGTGACAGTTATAGAATACATTTATTTTAAATTCTGTATTTATTAAAATATAAAAAATTTTAAATCATAACTGGAAGAGCCATATTAAAGATAAGCATCAAAATCAAAAGATGTTCTCCCTACGGAGGACTGCTACTTAATTAGAGTTTGTATTTTTAAGAATATAATTTCAATATTGATTAATAATTTGAATTATTTTAGATTGATAATGCATCAATTATCTCAATGAATAACCCTGGTGATTTTCTTTCTCTTCACTTGATCTCTTCAAGATCCAAACTGCAGTAATGATGATATAGTTGACACACCTCAAACTCAAGGACGTGTGAAATTTAGTTAGTAATGAATTCTGGATTTGAACGTAGACGTGGTAAAATCATTATATTCGGCAAGCAAGCCGTATAATTTATGAAACTGATGAACAATGCGATAACTTTTTTTTAAAAAATAACTCAGTCTAAATTTTTTCTCAACTGATTTAATTCTTGGATCTTAATTTAATACAACTCAGTTCTTATAGTTTATTGAATTAAAAAATTATAAATACTGAATTGCTCATTCAAATGTATTTTTATAAGAAGAGAAGAAGAGTCTTGTCTTGTCATCCTTGGATCAGCGTCTTATAAGCTTCTACTTGTCAAAAAGGCTGGCGACAGCTAACAATGTCTTGTGTTTGTGGTAAAAAAAAAAACACACAAAAAATAAAAAAATAAAAGCATGAGTTGAGTTAATTTTCAAATATTTGCAATAGAAATGCACTTCAAAAAGGAGCAAGTGCTTTCACAACAAATTAATTCATCAATTGATAATTTTCCGGTGGCCAATGAGGTCAACACGGCTAAAACCCAATATCATTGAGAAATCTGTCAACGAGAAACAAGAAAATAAAAGTATATGACCAGGAATCCACTTTCAAGATTTTGTGGGATTTAAGCTAATAGAGCCAACGAGATTGTGCTCATTTCTTACATTTACCCATGGACCTTCCAAGGTGACCAAAGTGGTCAAAGAAAAATAAGTAGATAGCATAGCATATTATACTTGTGCTCCTGAAAGGTCAAATTCAAATGGACTTTTGCTTTGTTGGCAGTTTGACTCACAGTTTTGTAGCGTTTAGTTTTGGTTCCATCCGCCACCATTTTTGCCTTATCCATTCCCTTCATTCATTTGATATTTAGTATCATCGCATTAATTTTGAGTACTATTCATTCAATTGGGGCAATTCTCTCCTCGTAATTTTTCCTGTTCGTAAAATTCAAACCCCTTGTTTAATGAAAATCATACTCAACCACTATGTTTATTACACATAAATTTCTTTTTATATATGTGTCTCCTATTACTATTATTACTATTTATTTATTTTCTTGTTTACGATATTCTCACCTCACAAGCTTTCATAAATCATACTTCAAAACTGCTTCTCGTCCTATTAATTATAAAATAACATCATGCAATCATTAAAAAAAATTGAAACCTGCAAGGTTGACTTTATGGGAGAATATTTCAACGGGATTAATTAATTTAAATTAAATATTGAGTGTTAAATTTTAAAATTTATAAATTCAATTCTCAATTTTACAACTTCATTACGATGAATTTATAACATGTGTTGCAAAATTTAACAGGAAAATAAATTTATTTATTCTTCAACTATATTAAAATTTAAAAATAAATTATAAATTTATCATAATAAATTTATAAAATTGAGAGCCAAACTTTTAAAATTTTTAAAATTTAATACTTAAGACTTCATTTAAATTAACTGGTCCTTGGACCTATTTGTCACTCTCCTCTGACTTGACTCAGACTCATCGCATGCCATTTTCTGCATTCTTTGTTCAATATTTTCAATTCATAGACCCAGAACCATTTACTTTATATTTTATATTTTATATATAAATATATAGAATCAACTGCAATATGGCATACAAAAATCGAGAACAATGGGTCTTTCAGACTCACGCATAAAACTCAAGGTTTAGGCGTTTAGCGAGGATATTTTTACGTAATTGTTAAGAAGGCCAACAATAAATTACATAAAAGAAATCAAATAAAAAATTTACTGTTTTTTTTTTAATTATGTTTTAGGATTTTGTCAATCTTCCGTGTTTTGAATTTAAGTCTAGAACAGGCATGCATGCAGTATTGCATATCGCCTTGTAATTAATTAACAATTCCAGTTGCAGAAATCAGCATTCAACTCAAAAAGTGAACTTATTGTACTACACTCATTTGGGTGTATTCCAATATCTCATACCAAACCAAACCTTTAATTAATTAATTTATCTATTTTAATAAAACAAGATGCTCTTGTGTTTAGGAGCGTATCAATCAATCAAGAACAAATCATTTTATATTCTTAGGCTTTGTTTGGTTTTAGAGGAGGAGAGGAGAGGAAAAATAATTTTATATAAACAACTTTATCCATATCTTATTAAAATTTTTTTTAATAAAATATAGTTATGAATGTTCTTAACATGTAATTATAAATATATAATTATTATTGTTAAATATATATGATTATAATTACAATACATAATTATTACTTGCAATATACACACATAATTTTATCTTTTATTTAATGGTGAAATAGTCAGACATGTGTGTTAGTTATTTACAATGACGAAATTCAAACTCAGCAAGCAAACACCATGGATAAACAGTAAGCGAACTTAGAAAGACACGTGTAATAGCAAGAAAATGATGGATGAACAATAATGGGGAAGTAGAAAGGTCAATATGGAAGCAATAAGAGGAAAATTTGTAGTGAAGAAAACGATGTGATGAAAAACCAGAGATTATGGCGATATCCTCCACATTGGAGAATCAATGGAATATATGGCTTTAAAATCCGTCATTGCTAAACTTGTTTTTAAAAAAAACAAAGAGTAATGATTAAAAGAAATGACATATTAATTATTGTGCAATAAAATTATACGGCTTTCCTCTGAATCTCCTCAATTTAAAAGAAAGGAAAAAAATTTTCAAACCAAACAAGGCTTCCCTCCCCTCCTTTTTCCCAACCAAACAATAACTAAAGTGTTACATCATTTTTATATATGCTCTTTAATTTCAACCCTTTTATGCTTTTAAGTAAACAATTTAGTATTTTAATATTACTACTTGCAAGCATGCAAGTTCACGCGGTGTGACAAGTTGCTCAAACCGACATTTTTTTTTTTTATTTGCCATTCAAACCGACAGTGCTACTTGCACAAAATTAGAACTCCGGGTCCATGACCATTAGTCCTTTCCTTTCAAAATAAATAAATAAATAAAAAGGAAAGAAAAATTTGATTTTGTTCACGTGCATCACAACGTCCCGTTCACTTTTTTTTTTTTTTCTCTTTTTCCTGAGAAGCATTTGGTACCCTGAGCCCACTTCACATTGATATAATTTTTTTACCTTCACTACAACAGTTTTTTTGCTTTAGATAATACTCAATTCGTTTTAAATTATAAAATATTTTTAAATAAAATTTTATATATCAATAAATTTCATTAAATATATTTAACAACCTTATCTTTTTAAAATAAAAATATAAACTTTCAAAAATACATATCATTTAATATATTAAAAAAAGATAAAAATTAATTATAAAGAGGGGAAGGGTAATATTGAAATTGGTATATTTAATAAAACATTAATCGACTCAAATTGTTTTATACTTTATGATAGAGAAACTCTTTTAAAATTGCACTATAATTTAGGATGGAGGTAGTAGTTTTTATTGTAACAATTCTAAAAATAATGCTTAATATAGGTATAAATAACAGTTTTTGTATGTTGTTATTAATCCCTACTTTAATTAAGCAACAGATATTTACCAACATCTGAAAATTGTATAAATAACAATTTTTGTATGTTGTTATTAATCCCTACTTTAATTAAGCAACAGATATTTAACACCATTTGAACATTATTCTATAAAATAAAACACGTAGCAATTTTCAAGTGTTAAAATAAAATTTTTAAATAAGCAATATAAAAATTGTTATCCATTTCACAACATATCACAATTGTTCCCTACTCTAATAGGCTGAAAAAAAAAAAATTTGTTGCCTCATTCATATCTCATAACAGTGGGAATTAGCTTTTCTCCTCTATAGTGAAGGAAACACTGCAGATCTAGACCATATTGCATTTGATGACTTAAGTTTGATAATTTTTAATAATATAAATTTAATTTAGATGATTTAGATTTATAACGGAGAAGCAGTAAAGGGAAAATACAGTGGAAAGAAATTCAGCCCGAAACAACGTTCCTTTGATGACACTGTCACATATATATTCTCTTCCAATTCATTCATTAATTATAAAATTAATTATGTCATGACGCTCGCTAGGCTAATAGAATCGAAATTCCCAACGTTGTTTCATTGATCGCGTGCCATTTTATGGCGACCGTCATTTTCTTTTAAAGACAGAAATTAATAGGTTTGGGGCATTTTCTTTTTCATTTAATCGTCATGGAATACTCATATATAAATCATTTTTTTTTCAATTCAAATGAGGTCCCTATATATCTCTCTAAACCAGGCGTGCACCGCATTAAAATAGTAATAATTATAATATAATCTCCATTTGCACCATAATGAAGTAACGAAGGCAAAAAGTGAACATGTTGATTACTGTATCATAATATTCGAAACATAATATAATATGGTGGATTAATTATATATACCAGCTATATAAACCTAATTAATGCAAAATTTAGTATTAGGAGATGCATTACTGCAATATTGCATATTCACTTGGTGGCGTGCGCCAATTTGCTCAAATATTTTTCTCTCTTCCGTTGTTACTTTTAGTGTTGCAGTAATCGCCATCAGTTATGTATGTGTACGCAGTTTTCATGTATACAAATACTTTACTTTTTTTATTAATTATTGTTTCTTTATTTGTTACATAATTCCTGAATTTAAGTTACATAAATTATTCTTAATTTTTAAATCTCATAACATTAAACTCCTTGTATTTAAGCTTGTATCGATGATTTTCTATTGTCTGTCAATTCATCACCTCAAAAATAAAAACTATCATTTGTTATAAAAATCATCTGCATACAGCTAAATATTTAGAAAATATATCTCATAGTTTAAAATATACGGAGTTTGTCTGTACATAAAAAATTAAAAGAATTTACTATCATTAAGATTCTTTTGTAAAATATATTTGAAACAACACGATTTTGTACAACTTTTTATAACTTTATGGGGTAAGTTTTCATGATTAGTTCTTTAAACCTTGCACTTTTTTTTATTTTATTATACACATGTACTTTCTTAATCAGGCAATTTTCTTGATATATGATCAGACAATAAATATAAATTTTTAGAAAAAAACTTAAACTTTAATTCGCCACACTAAATACACTTATAAACCTTGCACTTTATTAAAATTGAAGTGATGAATTTCGACAAATATAAAATATATGAGTTCGTTATTGAATTCAAGTTGGCCAAGTAAAGATCTATCATGCGTTGACCGAGCATAATCTGCCTTTATTTCTTCATCATTTTCTTAGAATAAAAGAACATAATTTAATTCCTTAATCCACTCAAAAGTTAAAAAAGACCAACCAAATGTCGGAACCCACTTCGGTGTCTTTTACTAATGGCTTTATGCAAAAACAAAGTCAAAAGTAAACTTTGGCTTATAACACGTAAAAATTTACAAATCTAGTGACAGTTAGGTTTTAGTAAGTTTTATTAAAAAAAAAAAAGTTACAAATATCATTAATTCAGACACGGGTTACAAATAATTATAAATGACTTATAATTATAATACGTAAACACCTGATTAGCAATTAACATTTTTGTATTCATAATCACTTGAATCAACATTTATTAACTTATTTCGTAACAAAACTTTTGAAGATTCGGTTGTTATTAAATTATTTTTTGGGACAAAAGTGTCATTAAAAAGACACATAATGAAGCAAAATATGTTGAAATTAGTATCTTGATATACACACACATGTACAAGAAGAATCATGACTTATGACTTATTAGTTAGCTCGAGTGTAGGCAAATTTACAATACACTAAGTCTTGTAGGTTTTTAAAGAGTGTAGAGATAGAAGAGAAAATGAAAAGAGACGTGAGTGTTGGTTATCGACTAATTGTATTATATGAACTATATCGATAACCGTCTTAATAATTAAATTAATTAATTAATCTCTTATTATCTTTAACTCGATCAATTAAAATATAGAAAATAACTAAATGTTATAAGATTGTAGGTTGAGCCTTCACATATCACGATCTATACAAGATTATAAAGAATAATATGTTCTGAGCTTATTAATTAATACAAATATATAATATTATATAAACATTCCATCAAAATATTCTTTAAATTCAATAAACAACAATGATTTTTTAAAAAATAAAATAAAAACTTATACACTCCTCCAGCTCTGCAGGAACGTCAAATGGTTCACTTTATTTAATTATATATGACAATGTTCAAGGTTGTATAATTGTATGATGTCTGAATTAAACTCATTTCTAGATTCAAATAATTATGAAATAGTGTAATTGATTGTTTTGCTAGAAACCATTGGCTTAGAAACTAGAATAGTGGAAGCAGTTTTTTGATGTTAAATATAATATATTATTTTTTGTCTACCGTTAACAGTATTTGACTTACTGGCACTTGTTAGAAAGAAGAACAAAAGGAATCTGAGAATTGTGGTGATAAAAAAGAATTCAACTACACCGGATGATTTGGTTTAATTAGTAAGAGAGTTGCCCGTTTAACTAAAGTTCTCCAGTTCAAGTTCCAGAAATGCAATATTTTTGTTGGTAGAGCTTTTACCCCAAAGGTCTCGATTCAACTTAATCTAAATTAGTTAAAGTCTTGTTAAAGTTTTTTCAACTCGATGTAAGGCGATGTAAGGCAACTTCACGGATATTCTGTTGTGTACCTCACACTACATCATCTTATTTTGCTGATGTCAATTTTTAACCTTTTGTGACTACTTTTCCGGAATGTGGTCCTTCATCAAACCCTTCATCTTAAAGGAGCCAATATGTTGATGACACGTGGCATGTCAACAATCCATGCGGCATTTTCTAAACCACTCAGCCTTCAGTGCCTGTTACGATCACAAAAATATCTGGTATTTCTATTTCTTCATTATTTTTCATCAGCTGGGAGGAAAATACATTATGAAAAGACATGCTTAACCCTTGCCTGATGATTCATTACATCCACGTGGGTTCTTTCCTAGAATTACATGAAGATCCGCGTTGTCCAAAACAAGGGGGAGTCACAGAAATCCAATTCCAAAACACAACTCAGCTTTTCCATCAGCCATTTCCTACTATTTTTTTGTTTTCTTTTCTTTTCTTTTCTGCCAAACAGCCTTTGGTTTCAATTCCACCTCTCGTTTTCTTTGTGCTCCAAACTTGTTCTTCAAATATGTCCCATCCCTTCATCATCATCAAAGAAGAACCAACCTCAAACATCTCTCAGCTTCTCTCTGTGAAGAGAGACACAGATAAAACAACAACAAACAACACCACCAACAATGGCAGCTTGCACAGTGTACACAACAACACAATCCCTCAGCACAAACTGCTGGATCTCATCTCCATCAAAATCACATTTGGGTTATTTTCCCCAGAAACAGCAGGTTGTTATCTACAGGAGGAGGAGGAGGAGGAGAAGCACCACATGTGTGATAACATGTGCAGCAGCAGGTGATCATGGTCAGACTATAGTGATTGGTCTAGCTGCAGATTCAGGCTGTGGGAAGAGTACCTTCATGAGAAGACTAACCAGTGTGTTTGGAGGAACAGCAGAACCACCAAAAGGAGGAAACCCAGATTCTAACACTCTCGTTAGTGACACCACAACAGTCATTTGCTTGGATGACTATCATTCATTAGACAGATATGGAAGAAAAGAGAAAGGAGTGACCGCACTTGATCCTAGAGCCAACAATTTTGATCTCATGTATGAGCAAGTTAAGGCTCTTAAGGATGGATTTGCTGTGGAGAAACCCATTTACAATCATGTCACTGGTCTCTTGGATCCTCCTGAGCTCATCAAGCCTCCCAAAATCTTGGTCATTGAAGGTTTGCATCCAATGTAAGCATTTCTCAAAACTAAGGTTTGGTTTTCTTTCGTTTTTAGATTGGTTGTGCTCAAGTGTTTTCAAAACGGAAAGCTCATGTTTTTGCTGGGTTTGGAAGTGGCTTGAGTTCACTATTTTCATTTCTAAAAGATAAAAATGAATTATGAGACAATGGGGTGTTTAGCTCATACTTAATCCATATCTTTGGTTGTTTTGTATGGCTGAGAATATTGCAAGACCTTCCAACCTTCTCATTGTTAGTTAATTACTTTAAAATAATAGTTCATATTGCCTTTGATTCATTAGAGAGGAGAGGAGACTGCAATACTTTTTTGATTTTTGATTTTTCTTTAAATAAGTTATGTTATAGAGTATTTTTAGAAAATCTATTGTGAACGTATATCTATTAGATATAGAATATTTCATCTCTAACAAAAAAATTATTTATGAATAGATTCCTTTTTTGGGTCAAGGTAAAGTCAAATTGGCCCCGCTCAGAGTTTTCAAAGCTAAATAACATCAATAATATATTTACATGCACAGTAATGAAGTGTCTTGCCGGTCATCAGTTTAGTTTATGGAGGCTCTTGTAATTCGTGTAGGTTTGATCCACGGGTGAGAGAACTGTTGGACTTCAGTATCTACTTGGACATCAGCAATGAAGTGAAATTCGCTTGGAAAATTCAGGTGAGCACAAAACACAACCCATCATGAGTTCCACAAATTTCTGCAAATTTTCAAAGGATACTTTCGAAGTTCTCTTCCATATTGTGATCTGACAATTATTACAGAGAGACATGGCAGAGCGTCGACACACCCTTGAAAGCATCAAATCTAGCATTGAAGCTCGGAAGCCTGATTTTGAAGCCTATATTGGTAATAAATACAATCAAACCTTCAACTTCTGGCAGTCTAAATGTCTTTGATTGGTCTAGTCTTGAAAAAAAGGACCTATAAGCAGATCAGTCATTGAATTAGCAACACTTATTTAAAGTTCATTATTGTGATTATGATTGAATCATAACATAACCTATCATAAATAAATATTTTTTATCGATTTATTGCATTATGTGTGTAAGTGATAGTGCATGTTATAACCTGTTCACTTTGCATTCAGATCCTCAGAAGCAATATGCAGATTCAGTGATAGAAGTGTTGCCAAGCCAGCTCATTCCAGATGATAATGAGGGAAAGGTTTTAAGAGTGAGGTTAATACAGAAAGAAGGGGTTAAGCATTTTAGCCCTGCTTACTTGTTTGATGAAGGGTCTACCATTTCCTGGATACCATGTGGGAGGAAGCTAACCTGCTCTTATCCTGGCATCAAATTCTTTTATGGACCTAAGACTTACTATGGTCATGAGGTACCAACAACTCCAGATCTTCTATTTTCATGTCTGTAATGTTATAAATAGTTCGAATTAAAGAATAATTAGTCTCAAGATCACATGGGATTGTTCAGTTATAAATTTATCAGCATGGATAAAATATTTGGTATTTTCAGCCCCTGAGGTTTATGCAGGTTGAAGTATTTATTATATAAGATCTTCACTCACTTCATTCCCAGAAGTTGATCTTATCAACTTAACTTTGTTTTTGTTCACATGATACAGGTATCAATTGTAGAGATGGATGGGCAATTTGACAAACTAGATGAACTGATTTATGTTGAGAGCCATCTCAGTAACCTCTCAACAAAATTCTATGGGGAGGTTACACAACAGATGCTGAAACATGCTGACTTCCCAGGAAGCAACAATGGGACAGGTCTTTTCCAGACCATAATTGGGTTGAAGATTAGAGATTTATATGAGCAAATAATAGCCAGCAGGGCTAAGGCTCCAGTAGGAGCAGCAAAAGCCTAGAAACCCTGCCATTATACATATTGAACGAGGCAGGCTTTGGAACACTCCCACAATCATTTATTCTATTGTGTTTTCCACATTCTCTGTATTTTTTTGTTGATTTGTCTAGTTTTAGGCTGTTCTTCATGTAAACGAAAATATTCTGGATGTACTTATTTGATCTGTTGCAAGTTGTTAAATAGAAAAGCAAAAGCTGGGATGGAGATTTCCCAGAAGATTGGAAACGTTTCGCTTTATACCTGCGAAAAGGAAGGGGGGGGGGGTTGAAATCAAATAGAATAATCTCTAGAAGAGTGATGTTAAATAAGAGTAATTCTAGCCTGTTCATCATAAGCAATATTCTTATTCTGTTCTTGCAGCCAAGCTGAGCTTATTCAAGGCAGTCTTATTCTATGTCCTTACAATTAACAGCCCTTAAACCATCTCCGAGAGAATCACAGTCCCAACCATGCATGAACTTTTACTTAATTGGTAGAAATAATTTTACAAAAGATGGGGGTTATGGTGAGACTTGGGTGCATTGGTTTTGAATCAAAGATTGCATTCACTTGTTACGACGGGCTTTTCTTTTGGAAAAGAACATTATAACCCGTGGAAACAGTTGCTTCTTCTTCTTCTTTTTGGTCTCTGTTTCTGGGGCTCGTTCAGTTACAGTATTATTTGAAGGCCCGTTAATCTGCTCAGATTTATTGGATTCTTTCTTCCGCTCCAAACTAGCACTCCTTTTCTGCTCTTGGTCAGCCTTCCACTTCCGTAACTCCTGTTCTACTCCTAATTTTCCTTCTTGGGCCTTCTCAGCTTTCGCAGTTGCCATCTTCAAGGATTCCCTTCTTGCAGCCAACTCTTGATTTACTTCCTCCAACTTATTTAAGCTGTTCAACTCAGAGTCCTTAGCCATCTCAATTTGAGAATTAGCAGCTACAACCCTCAAATCAACTGGCTTATCCGCCTCGTATGCACGCTTCCTGAGTTCATAGTATTCTCTCAGTTCGAGTGTTACCTCAGAGGGAGAATGCATGTCATAGTTGTTTTCAGCCGATTCACTCTCTTGCAATGCTTTAACTGCTTCTGCTGCCACCTTCTCATAGTACTTGGCATCCTCTAACTCTGTCTGTGCTGCCATTAACCTACGTTCCAACGCGCTTGCTCTGGCCTTGGCTTGTTCAGCATCTTCCTTCACTTCACGCAGCTCTATTTGAGCTGCCTGAGCAAGTGATTTAGCATAAACAGCCTTCTGTTCTGCTTGCTCTAGTTTTTTATCGAGGTCAATTATCCCTCTGGCTCCTTTCTTTTTCATCTCAGCTGAAGCCAATTGAGACATTGTCTCCAGTTCAGCTTTGGGAGATGCAACTGCAACAGAGACTGTTTCCTCACTTCGCCTGATGGTTGTGATAACTGAGTGAAGCTCAGCAGATGCTTTCTCTGTTTTGACTTTCACTTCGTCAAATACCTTTTTTGGTTCTTCATCACCCTCCTGTTTTAATTTGGATTTCATATATGCTGCTAATTCAGATTTCAAATCAAGCAATAAAGAAGAAGATGCATCCAGTTTAGATTTGAGATCCTTCATTGCTGAAGCTTGTTGGTTGAGTTTGTGGAGCTTCTCTTCTGCATGTTGAAGTTTCAGCTTCCAGTTGCTGCAATCCTTACCTCCAGCTCCTGGCTGCGAAGTTCGTGCCATCTTCAATAACTCAAACTCAAAAGTCAAATATTTCAATGACTGCTCAATTTTTTTAGATGCAGCAACAGCCTCTTCAGCCATTTTAACAGCAATGTCCTTTTGAATCACCATACAAGCATGCTCATCATGCAATCTTTCCAGTTCCTCATTAGTGGAATTTAAATCTGAAATTGCAGCTGCGTGCCTGGCTTCATTTACAATCTCCTGCTCCAACTCCTCAGCTTTGAGCCTCGCAGTTTCTGAGGCTTGAGTTGCTTCGTGCTCTTCTCTTTGTGCCCTCTCTAAGTATTGTTTCAGTTCTTCTATAAGTTTGTTAGTGCTGTACAAATCCTCAGGTAGCTGGAACTTGACTTGTCTCCTCAGCTCGGCAATCTCCTGTGATATTTCAAGTTCTACTCCCACACTCTTGGGTCTCTGTGATACCAGAAAATAAAATTAACAGTTACTTTTAACTCCAAGCCTCTATGTATGCATGTAACAGTGATTAGTCCAAACCACATGGGAAGCAAGTGACGAAGAGAAAAATTAGTTCACTTCTCCGCTTTGCAGAATGGAGAAAGGACCACTATTTTGGTGCCATCAAAGGCCTAAAGAACACCCACTTGTTTTATTTTCCTTCTTCATTCTTGTTCTAATAAAATCTAGCAAAATTGCAAATAAAGTGAAGTTAATTAATTGTACTTTTTTTCTTATGTCATCATTAGTGCCATGAGCAGAGGAATTTCATCATGACCGAAAACAACTCCAACTTTTTTTTCTCAATTGACACTAGCGATAAGAAGCCAGATATACCTGCTGGATATTCTTAGCACGACGGGCTTTCCAATCTATGCTTCCTCCAAACCTAGAAACAGCTTCTTTGACAGACTCAATAGGCGGAGTCGTATCAATAGCGCCTTTTTTCTCACTGACATTACTAAAGGATCTAGGAATTGTAAGTTTTCTCCGGCCTTCTACACGAGCAGTGACTGGCTTTTCTACAAGAGAAATGACTGGTTCTTCTACAGGAGCAGGGACATCAGGCTCTTCTACACGAGCAACGACATCAGGTTCTTCTTCCACACGAGCCAGAACGTCAGGTTCCACTTTTCTATTTCTTAGGAAATTGGTTGAAGCTTTAATGTGTGAATGACTATCTGGTAGGTCAATTGCTTCAGCAATTCCTATAGGGAATCCAGGAAGTTGCATCTTTTCAACATTTTCCATGGAGGATTCTGGAACCTTTTCCAAAATGGCAGTGGAGTACCGATCAGCAGGTCTCTAAACTCCAATTGAGCAGAAAATAAGCAAGAAAAAGAAAATAAAATTGCAATTCCTAGTATTTGATTGTCTTGTATAATATATTGAAGACATGCAGAGGTCCACATGTAATATCTCTACGAGACAATTAGTATCAAACACCTAAAGATCATTACCCAAATCTTGTCTATAAGCAAAAGATGCATTGAAAATATTCACAGGAGAACAAAGCATAATCTGTGATCTGGACTCAGAAGGAATACCTTCACATAAAAAAATAACAAACAAATGTTAAACGGGGAAAAAGCAAACGAAAAAAAAAAACTGGGTTTTGTTCAACATCAGAACAGAGAAATGGTTGATGCCATCTCTAACCGTCTAATGCATGTAGCTGATAGATAAGGTAATTGCATAAACATTACACGAAAAAGACAAACAAAACATAAACCCACAATGGTCCATCTGAATAAGAAATGAGAATTAATATAACCGATTTGATTTAGGTTCGTTATTAACAAACTGGACTAGAAATACTGATGAGGATGAAAGAAACATGAAGAAGAAAAACAAAGCAAAGCAAAGCAGACCTGGATTCCAGGGGAAAAAGAACCCAGGTTCAGGGGCGAAGGAAGCGGGTGATCCAGAGAAGCAAGGGAAGAAGGAGGAGGTTAAAAGGAGAGAGAGAAAGACTACGTTGGAGGCGACGAAGGAGGGAGATACAGCGAAATGGTGCTGCATGCAAATCCTCCTTCAGGGGTTCCAACTCAGACGTAGGAGCCCATAAAATTGGAAGAAGAGGAAGAAGAAAATGCCATTCGAACACGTGGTGGGATGGCTAAGTCTCCTCCTTTTCCTTTCCGCCACTATTTTTTACTCTTTCACCACTTGTACGTTGCACTCTCCTTCATCTTCACCTAAGAATTCACGAATCACCATTATTATGACATGGCCTTTAAAAATGTAATTAATTTTTAGAACGATGGTTATTAAAAGAAAAGGGACCTTAAACTAGACATCAAAATCACTGAAGTAGAACTATGATTAGTAAATCCGTTTTTAATTTAAGTTGATAAAAATTTACAATTTTAAAATAATTACACATTTTTTCATGTATATCAGACAGAGTTTAACAATAAACCACATTATTTTAAAAGTAATTAAACACGTTTTCTTATAATTACATGAAATATATCGAATGGTTCTAAACTATTCGTTGCTTATAAATATTATGATCTGCAATAGGTTTTAATGGACATATTGATATACTTGTTACAATTCTTGGCTTACTATTAAACATTTTTTAAATTTAATATTATAATTTAGTCATGAGTGGAAGTAAGGGTGTTTAAAACCAATTCAAATCGAAAGGATTGATTCAAATCAACCCAAATTGAAAGAAATCAATTAAAACCGAACAACAATCAAGCTTACTTTGATTTTTATGATATAAGAATCCATTGATTTTGTTCAAGTTCAGTTTTAAGTATAAGAAATCAAACCAAATCAAGCCAAACTTGTTTAAAAAATATTACTTATTTATTTATAAAATATATAACCATTTATCTACAAGAAGCATTTTGTTTTGAATTTTTTATAATAATAGATAAACATTTTTAAAGGACTTGAATGAAAATGCATAATATTAAATAATTATAATAACGATGTTATGACCATTATTTAATTATTTAAAACTTGAAAACATCAGTATTCAATTTATCCACAAGAAGTATTTTGTTTTGAATTTTATATAATAAGTTTTTCATTATTTATTAAAATATAGATACATAGATAAACATTTTCAAAGGACTTGAATGAAAATACATAATATTAAATAATTTTAATCTTAAAAACTTATATCAATTTTTATGAGTAATTATTGTTATCACATTAAAATTTTATTATATGTTTATACCTCTATTTATGAAAAAAAGGAGCAAAAAAAATTAGATTTAATTTTAATACATAGAACCATTATGAAGATGAAAAAAAGAAAAAAAATTAAATAAGTGTATTGAAGTCCGATCCAGACCTTAACCAAACTGAAAATTAAATCAAACCAAACCGAGCTTTATAAAAACTAATCAAGTCCCAATTATGAATAAATCAAATGGTTTGATACGGCTTGATTTTTAGTCAAACCAAACCAAATCAAACTAAATCCATGAACACCCTTGAGTAGAAGCTCTAAAATCTCACTACCTTGCAAACCAATGCGTTCAAATTGTTAGGTTGTATAACAGAGTAACTCCCAAAGAAAACTTGATCTAGAAATACTGTTTTCCGAGAATATCAGACAT